TGTGTGCTCCACACCCCTCTGTGTGTGATGGACACGGTTCGAGGGACTCTGTGTGCTCCACATCCCTCTGTGTGTGATGGACACTGTTCTGAGGAACTCTCTCTGTGTGTGTGTCTGTGTGTGTGTGTGTGTGTGTCTGTGAGTGTGTCGGGGACAGATGCTCTGTCACCCTGTGGGTGCATTAGTGATGCCCACCTGTAGGTCTGTGTGTGCACGAGAGGCACCGTGTTTGTGACAACGGGACACCCGTGTGTGTCAGTGTAAGGTACTGGTCTCACTCAGACACAGGGTGTGCCTGAAGCATGTGTGACACTGTGTGTTTGTCACCTGTATGTGTGTGTGTGCAACACCTGTGCACCTGTGAGATGGTGGGTGAAGCACCGTGCATGTCCAATAGCTACACATATGGCCTTCTGTGTCAGACACTGTGTTTGGAGAGAATCGTATCCGTGAGAGTGTGAGACATCTCTGATGCCTGGGACACTCACTGTGTGCGTGCATTTGTCACACACAGTCAAGGGTGTGAGAGGAAGACATGATGTGACACACTTGAGCACGTGTGAAGTGCGTGGGACACATCCTCAAGTGCTTGTGTCCCTGCAGCACTTGTCTGAGTGCACACCTTGCTTCACGTGTGTCTGACTGTGGCTCGTGTGCAAATTTCACGTCTGTGAGGCACCTCTGTGTGGCACTCTGGTTTGTGGCCTTTCTCAGACCTTTCAGAAGGTGGCTTTCAATGTAGCTGTCCTTCATTTAGCACAGATCGGAGCTGAGCTCTGCCGGGTTTTTTATTAGGATTCTTTCAGCAATATGCAGCCTTTTTTCACAATTCTATTTTTGAGTCTCTGGATTGTGATGAATTGCTTAAAATCACCCCCTTTTGATATGTATTTAAGATGATAACTACTGATCTATGATCCATTATGTGGTATTATCACACCAGCTGTGGCTTGCTTGGCAAAACTGCACAGACCTGATAGCATGGCACACATCCAGGTACATCTATCAGCAGTATTCTCTAACAGTGCCATTTATAGATGGCAAGAACTGAAATCAAAACAAAATCCTGTCTTTTTCTTCAATACATACAAACCCAGCGTTGCTATGTTGCAACTCAGATCCACATAAAGGGTTCATGTAAAATAATTAATTTTGGTTTAAATACTGCATTTCTTATGTTTGATATTGACAGAATGCTTCAATATTTTCTTTATTTCCTCAGCTTGCAGGATGGCGTTGCTTCCTGAACAGAGAGTAGCTCTTGCCAAAGGCTTGATTGGACCTGTGCTTGCTTCTGCATCACGTCATGTTTGTATTGTGAAGGATGTTAAAGCTTGGTGTGTGAGGAAAATTATTTCTGAGCATAGACATCTTTTTTATCTAGCATATCAGAGACAGAATTATGATGAGGTGCAGAAGCCGTCCCAGAAGAAATCTTAGTTTCAAGAAATGCTGTCTGGGAATGAGAAAGAGCCAACTTAATAGAACACTGCAGAGTGCCTCCCCTGTGGTCATCCAGTCAGAGAGAGAGCTCATTCCATGATTTCACAGCTTGTTCTTGGGCCTTAAAATGACACCACTACCACAAATCCTGTACAGGTGGGCAGATTACCTGAAAAGGGACCTAAGAACATCCTGAGAGTACCAGAAGAAGGTTCACCCTTGACAGCCGTAGGAACAGCATGGTCTTTTTTTTTTTTTTTTTTTTTTTTTTTTTTTTTTTTTTTTTTTTTTTTTTTTTTTTTTTTTTTTTTTTTTTTTTTTTTCAAAGCAGTAATTGACAATGTCTAGCCTGTGAAAAAGATCCAAATGACTCCAGCTGTCTTCTCAGCAAAGATCCTGCAGGGTTCCCAATGAGAATGGGTTAGCACAGGAGTGTGGGAGAGCTTTATAACCATGATGGATTGGAGAGTCACATGAATAATTGATTGGCCATACCTGTTCTCAAGAGACAGCACCACCACCATGTCTCCTGAGGCCAGGAAACAGGAAAGAAAGACTAAAAAGAAGCCACATGTAGCCCTGGATCTTTAAATGATCTTTGATATCTAAGAGACTAGCAGAAATTAATTCTGTTTTTGGAGAGTAAATGTTCTGAGCGTGCACACAGAAGACACTTTCAGTTGTTAAAATGCTTAAAAGATTTTGGTGGAAGGGGCCATTCTCAGTATTTTAAACAGCAAAATTACCAGAACAGACCCAGGGGCTCAGAACAAAACTTCATCTGGTCTACAGTCTCGTTTTGGTCGGCAACTCACAGAAAATGAATGTCCTAGACCAGATACTCATGAGAATCACACTTGGAAATTTAGACATCCAGGACTTCAGACATTCTAAGAAGAGGACTCAGATTTATGAGTCATGTTCATCTGATCAAATATGTGATTCAAACAAGAATTTAAAAAAAAGCACCAAAGGATACAGCTCGGCTTTATCTTTGATTTCTGCTTTTAGAAATTTTTCAGGTGGCTCTGCTGAACTTGGAACTCCCTTTGTACAAGTTCAACCTTAAAAATGAAGTCAGATGTGCAGTGCCTGGCCTGGCTGTGGTTGTAGTAAAACTTTGTGATGTTCCAGGTCAGGTTTAGTCATCTTTGTCTTAGCAGTGCCCAGGGCTGTATCTACTATTTTAGAGTCAGACATAAACAAGCGTATTCTCTGTCTATAAATGGACAGTGGTATTACATTAACAACAGCTTGTGGTGATTCACATGAGAATAAACTGGATTTTTCTGCCAGGATAATTCACCTGAAGAGATGACTGCTTCCATTCACTTCCTTTCTTGGAAGCAGGATGAGAATAACAAACTGTTCCGATAACATCAGCCTAATTCCAGTCAACATATTTCCTACTGAGAGGCAGGGCAGGCCCCACCCTTTGCATGACAGGCAGTAATTGGTCCTAGAAATGTGACTCATAGCTCTGACACTTGGCCTCAGAATTAGGTGGCAGCAGCAGCCAGTTGTCACAAATCCCTCTCTGAAAGAGGGATGCCAAACCTTCCCTCCAGGAGTCCAGTGTTCACCTCTCACTTCTCAGGGCTCTGAAAAGCCTCAGTCTCAGCCATGTGCTCCTGTTAGATGGCTGCAGAATTTCAAATCAGAGTTTCCCTCTG